CAATAGTCATCACGAAAAACTTTCCTAACTTTGAACATGGCTATTGTATATCTTTGTGGAATGAAGTCCTTTGGCACAAGATTGTTTAAAACTCACCTTCACAATTTACCTTTTCTCCATCCTCAGCAATATGAAAGCTGTGAAAATTAAGCCTAGAAGGTTAAACACTTTCAGACTTCTTTACGAGCTATTATCATCTTTATTATTTATGAGTCTTTTTGTTGTAATGTTCTTCAGTTGAGATTACGGAACTGTAACTTCCTATCAGAGTATCTTTAATTAACCTGGCTTTTCCCAGTGCATTAGAAAGCACAATGAGGCAGAGAGCACCATTTGATTTCCTCTTGTTTTTACATTACGCTGTTACACATGATTAAGTTCAATGGGACTCAAGTCTATAAAGGCTTCTGTGAATCAGGAAAAAATATGGGGTAGAAATCTCTGAGGCCACTGCCTTTTTTGTTGTGATGAAGAGAGAAATGGTCTTTCTATTTTCTCTTTAGATGGAAATGGTCTTACTGTTTTCCCTGTGAGGAAGCGAGTCCTTTGGCTGAATCGCTCAGTGCCTCCTGGTGCCTCAGCTCCCACCGACCACGTTCCGGAGGCTCTGCTGGAAGGTGCTGGCGTAGCAGCCACTTGCCTTGAGTGCCCCCATGCTTGCCATTGCTGCAGCATGGGGAGAAGCTCCCTTCTCAAGAAGATACCATATGCCCAAAATGGATAATCTCTGCTTCTGTCTGTTTTTATGTCTTGGAGATCATTTTTCTTGGTCTTAGAAGAACTCTGTGCCTAAGGGTTCCTTCTATGATTTTGTCTTATAAGTATTTTGTCTTGAGAAGGGAATTTTCCCCATTTTACTTTGATCTTGTATAGAAATATCCCAATCTGTTTTTTTTTTTTCTCAAGACAGGATTTTTCCCTATTGTATTTGGATCGTGTATAGAAATTTCCTCTTTGAAAATTTAAAATTATGACTTTGTTACCATGAATAAAAACGATGGACTCTCTCCCCAGTTTTTTTTTCTGTATATATCTAAGTGTCATTTTCCTGAAAATTTCAGAAGCAGTTATTATTACACAAACTACTGAATCAATGAGTTTTATTTCACTTCATCAATAAATAAAGCTAAATGGGTAAAAAAAAAGAGGCAAGATAAATAAAAATAAGATGGCAATGGTAGTAGGAATGCATTGCTTCCTGCTCCTCTGTTAAAACAACTCAGAGACTTTCATCTAGAACATCTGGAGTAGCCAACAAAATTAACAAAATCAATGTTTGACTGTTAGATATATTAAGAGAGAGAGAGGCAGGCACTCAGCGCATAAAATACTTCTCCAAAACAATTTGATTGCCTACTTGGTAATTGTTTTTGCCTTTCAGGGTTCCAGTCTTACGTCTGTGTGAGGCCAAGTCCATCTCTGTAGGACATCCCTGGGTGTAACAGCTGGTCCATTCTGATCGTATTGAAGGATCAGGGTATGAAAAACTGCTCTCCAGCATTTTTTTTTCTCCTTATTGGCTCCTCTCTCTCTCCCTGCAGCAGTAACAGGACAGAGAGGCAGCATACAAAGCTTCTATTCCCAGAAAATATCAACTCAGGGAAAAGACCACTGCTTGTTAAATGGAGTATCTACCGCGCTAGCTCTGACACAGAAACCTAACAATGATAATTCCAGCCAGGCAGTTGGAAAACGTGTACTCTGAGTACTGTGTGTCCTTGAAATAATATTTACTGTTTGTTTGTTCCGTAGCCAGAAGGGCTGCACATGCATTTTCTGCTTGTTAGGAGACTGCAAAACCTGACAAAAGATCTAGCCCTGGGAACAGATTTTTAGCTTGGTACTGGGGCATGAGCACTGAGCTCTACCAACTTGTTAAGCCAGGTACAGATGGCATGAAAGGAGTTTATAGTCTCGACCTCATATCCTAAAGACAATTCCGTGTGGCAGATGCCAAAATCTTTGCCCAGCTTCACTGAAATTAAGAAGGGAACAGCATGGGTTTTTACCTGCATTTTTGTAAGACTAAAATCAGGCACTGACTCCTGAAGTGACCAACGAGAACTCCAACAGTGAAAGAAGTGTTCACCTGGATCGATTCAACGGCAGGCAGGGAACACAGGGGATGAAAGATGCTATGGAGGAGGTGATCCTTCACCTGTCCCCTGTGCCAGAGACCTTTGTCTCAAAAAAAATAACAATTTCCCCTGTGTCTGCAGTCCTCCACTGCGCAAAGAGCAGAATAAAGCTTATCTGCAGAAATCTGCTGGTCTTTCATAATTCAAGGGTACAGAAAAATGTAAGATCATTTATTCTGATTTTCGTTATATCACAAGCACTTTTCCCTTGTACCTCTTACTGAAACGAGTAATTTCTGTTCTTGATTGAAGCAGAATGTGTTTAGTTAAAGGCGACCTTCCAGAAGAGCACTGAGTCTTGAACCAAAAGCATCAAAAACCAGAGAATCTGTCCTTGTCTCTTCCTTATCTGCCCCAGTAAATGATCATCATAGTGTTAAATATCAGCAAGTAGTTTACCATATGAGGAAGAGCTGCTTTCCTGTGAGGGTGGCAGAGCCCTGGCACAGGCTGCCCAGGGAGGCTGTGGAGTCTCCTGCTCTGGAGTTCCTCAAAATCCAGCTAGCTGCCACCCTGTGCCCCATGCTCTGGGTGTTCCTGCTGGAGCAGGCGGGTTGGACTAGAAGATTCCTAGAATTCCTTCCAATCTTAATCATTCTATGAGTCTATGATATGAAATTATTAACATACATCTTTTAAACAGTCACCTTTAACTCTCCTGAAGTTAAAAATCTTTTAGTTCATACAATTCTTTTCCCTTAAAAAAAAAAAAAAAAAGCCTAATCAACTCACCCTACAATCTGGTTTTTGATAAGCTAAATGAATGAAAATATTCAACTGTCTTATTGAACTACATCTTCTCCAAGTCGTTTTTTTCTGCAGCCTCTCCAGATGTCTAAGCAGCATTTAAAAATGTGAACACCAGAACTGACTGCAGAATATGTCAGTCTCACCATGCCATAAACAAGCAAAAAAAATAATCTTCCAGCTTCTAAACACTACACTCCAGCTTAAATATTCAAGGACCACATTAAGCCTGTTGCCGTGATGCTTCAATAGGAACTTGTGTGCAGTTACTTGCCCCCTAAATCACTCTTAGAATTCCATTTTTGTGAATTGGGCTGTCCATTTCTGTCAGAACATGTTGTCATTCATTCATCTCTATGGTACAACTTTGCACTTTGTGAAAATGTACTCCCTTCAGCTGCCCCAACCTACCAAAAAATTCAGAGTTCTCTAACATGCTTTTTACCTCCTCATTATTACCCTACTCCATGCCACAAATATTACCATCAGTATCTCCCTATTTGCATCCAGATCACTAATGAAAATACAAGGTGTCTAACTGCTAAATGATTAATTCTGAAAGTAATTATTAGCTGTCACCTTCACCAGGAACTTCTAAACACTAATTACGTTCAGTTTTCAACAGTAAGCTTTGCCATGTGCTTAGAATTCCAGCACACTGGAATACTGTGGGTTAATTTGAATGAAAGGCAGGAGTCTTGAAAACAATCACCTTTTTATCAGGACAATACAGCTTTAACTAGTACCTAGTTTAGCTACTATCCTCAAATTCTACATGGTTAAAAGTTTTGAAAATAAAGCCCGCATTATTTAACACCATCACAGATGCTCCATCTTCTTCTTTGGCATGAACAGTTACCATTCAATGAATGTGACTTCAGCTTAAACAATTCTCTTGACATCTGGGCACCCCTATACTCCTGTGCACACCTTACAAGTAAAGGCTGAGCTTAACTGCACCTGAAATCCTTAGTAAAATCCAGCATGGGACTCTCTGGAGGTTTTGGAACCATTTATCACCAGCACTTTCAACACTCCAAAATGCCAAATATCCCCTACCAGTTAATGACCTCCCTCTCTTCTCTTAGCAGCAGTGAGAGATGAGCCATTTAGCACTTGGAAGACGAGGCACAAGAAGGGTCTTGTTTTGCGGTGAGCTCAACGTGTGACTGAGAAGCAGAATATGGCTGGGTAAAACACTGGCCTAGTGGGTTAAGTTCACAGTTAGGTTTAATGACCTTTGGGCTGGAAAATAAGCCTAAACGTAGCATGTCTTGCTTCAGTATGAACAGATCTAAAGAGACCACAAAACGTTTCCTAACAGTCTCCATCTCCACCCCATAGTGTTGCATTTTGCTGTACATTTAAAACAAATGTAATGGTCCCTCTCTACGAGTTTTCAGGCAAACTCTCACTGACCTACGTGCACCCAGTCCTAGGAACCTGTACCACTGATTTAAGCAACGAACTAAACTCTTAGGAAATTTATCAAAAAACAGAATAAATAAAATATCCATAGACTGGATTTGCATGTTCATGAAGCATCCACTACTTAAACTTTCAGAGCATGTCTGAAAATTGAGATATATGATGCTTTCTCCTGCTGCTTAACTGCTGCCTCAGCTTCCTTGCCCTTTACCTCACTTGTGACAGCAGAATAATTTTAGATGTGTTTCTTACAGTGAGGTACTGAAAGGTCACGGAAAGTAGCTTGCTAAAGTACTGCTAGGAAAATCTTACGTTTCAGCTCTTATCTTCAAATCATTGAGCCTCAAGCAGGAGTAATTTAATAGCTAGAGCAATTTTTTTTTTTTTTTTAGCCAAGACAGCTATTTGTCACCAGGTTAGTGATGACAGAAAACAAATCTGCCTGGTAAAGCTGCAGGCTGGTGTGAGCTGGCAGAGATCTGCTGGCAAAGCAGAGTTGGGCCCAATCTTTCCTTGGCAGCAAGTCACACAGAGCTTTCTACCCCAGGAATGTTCTACCCCAGTCTGCCCTGCACACCACGAATATGGAAGATGTTACCTGTGTGACTGCTGGAGCGACTCTGCCCTCCGCTTTCCCCCCGGAGATAACAATGCAAACCACTTTACTCGGAGAAAAGCTGCACTCACCCGGTCTTCTTCTTCTCTGACATCTGGCATGGTGCTGATACAGAGGCTGACTGCAGTGATGGCAACAAAAGAGATGGAAATACAAGCAAAGAGCTTTCCCGGGATCCCTGAGTGGGGGTTCTCCACCATATCCCTGAGCTTTCTCATGCACAAACTCAATCGGCTATTGTCCTGGAAGGCACATTGCGCAGCTTCACTAAACACCATCTCCCCTTCATACAGCCTGGCCTCTGCTGCCTCCTCCTCCTTGTGGCGCAATCTCTTTTTACAGCACCACTCCAGGTGCTCCTCTTCTATCCCCCAGTACACCAGCTCCTCCTGAAAAGAAAGCGCACACATCTCCCTGAGCAGCCTCAGCTTCCCAGCTGTCAGGAAAGTCATGATTGTCCTGAAGGCACTAGGATTACGGTCAAAAAAAAATTCATTGCAGCTAACATCATAATCATCGCAGATGTTCATGATCTCATCGTAATTGTTGCAAGATTTTAGCTTCCCGAGCCTGGTCAAGGGGCAGTTCTCCAAGGTGGTCCATGGAATTTTGTATTTAATACCACCTACGTTGATGATCACAAACCTGGTCCGGTCTTCCAGGCGGGCTAAGCAGCACAAGTCTTCTCCAGGGCGCAGAAGTTTGGCGTTTTTGTAGAAGAACCCCTTCTTCGTTTGCACTTCACATAAGTTTTCCAGATTATTGAAGGAATAGGAGCTGAACTCATGATCCGCGTTCCCAGTGAGCAATGCCATTTTTTGATACATTTGCTGAGTTCATAGGGAAATCAGGTTCACTCACACAAATGCAGCTGGTGCTTGATCGGAGAGTCACTCTGTAAAACGGAGTTTTAAAATGACAACAAGATTAGAGCTTTGTCCCATGAAAATAAGTCCTTTCCCCTTAGTCCTGAGAAAGCTTTTCCATGGTGTTATTTTTTCCCTATTATTTTAGGATTCACCTACATCACCCTGATTTCACCAGGGCACAGAAACCTAACCTGCAGTAAGATTGGAAGCTACTTTCTTCTGCAGAGCATTATTAAGCATTTATTCAAATAATGAATGAAAATAAGATCCTCATTTTCAGGCCCCTCTCTTTTGGAAGTTGAGCTAGCCCCCCTGAAGTCACCAGAAGCTGCTAGGGAGATTGGGGTTCTTGGATAAATGGTTATTTACAGTTTAACAGCTTATTGGAGGAACAGCTATGAACAGGTTTTATTCTTTTTTTGGTTCCTCTATGGAATTGATCCATTACAAAAAAGCCTACAGTGTGAGGGTAAACCATATGCCTATGCTGCAGTCAGGGAGGTGACTGAGTTCAAATTTATCAAGCTTAATTACCAACCACAAGGAATGTGCGGGAGCTGAGAGTCAACATTGTCCTGTTGTTGGAAGGATTTTGCTCGGGTGGCTAAGTAGGCTAATCTGCTGCTGCACTCAGCTTGAACGAATCAAGCATTATACATAATTCCAGGATTTAATTTATGGCTAATGCTTATCCCTCCTCCATCGCACCTCAATATACAGAGCTCCTGAATGTACATTTTCACCTGCCATGCCACTCTCTCACTTTCTCTTGAGCCCTGCACCTAAGTTCTCCACATGCTGTTCCCAAAGCAGAACCAGCATGTTCTATGGAATTGAATTAGTGAATAATATAAAACTTCTTGAACTGCTTGAATGTTAAGGAAGTAGGAAACAACAAACCAGTGTGACAGTGTTAGGACACTACAGAAGATATCTGGGCTGAGAATGGAAGCAGGAAAGGGGAACAACCTTGTACAGGGAATGGAGAAATCTTACAAGCTGACAAACGATGGGAGAGCGAGCTCAGGCATGAAGGACAGTGAATGTTTTTGATGACAGAACAGTAACCATGAGGCAGTAATTCTGTAGTTTACAGGCAAAATTTTCTTAATCCCCTTTGAATTCCCTTTGAGGTTGGACTAGATGACCTCTGGAGGTCCCTTCCAAACTTAACCATTCCATGATTCTATGAATCTCGCATAGTGGATGCCATAGAAAGTGGCAAGTGGATGCCATAGAAAGTGGATGCCATAGAAAAAGTGGATGCCATAGAAACAAGTGCCAAAGTGGATGCCAAAGTGGATGCCATAGAAAAAGTGGATGCCATAGAAACAAGTGGATGCCATAGAAAATTAGCAAACATGCACATTAGAACACATTCCCCTAGCAGCATCCTCCTTTATCCATAATCAACTCTTACACTTTATTAAAACAATCTCCAGCAGAAAATGATGAATGCTTGTTAGTCAAGGCCATGAGTCACCCTCCAAATATTTTTACCAGTGACAGACTACTGAATCACAGCAGAATTGCCTTCCACACTCAGTATTGCAGGTGTGAGCTCCAGAACAAACACAGCCCAGAGGGACACGCTCAGAAAACTCGCCTGCCTTGAGAAGCCACCGAGCAAGGAAGGGGGTGGCTTCACAAAAGCCACAGGACCCCGCTCTGGGTTTGGGTGCAGCTCCAGCCTCTGATGCACGTAGAGGCATTTTTGTGGTGTCTTTGTACAAAGCCAGAGAATGGCTGGCTTGAATATAAAATAAAGTGTTTTCAGTCACCGAAAGGTGCTTTTTGGTACTGCGAAGATTTCAGAAGCAGTAACGATGTCAAAATGTCTCCAATTTCACTTTGGGGGGAAAAAAAGAAAAACAGGAAAGGAAAGGTTTAAACATCCCTTTATACATGGCAACACGAACAACAGAGCAGAGCTCATTGCTCTGGCCAAGGGCCAGCTGGGAGTAAGTGGTAGCACCGCGCGTTCCGAGAAATGGGGCTTTTATAGGCCGGGCTTGAGTGCAGCTGGGCCGGCACATGCCATTACTGTCACAGTGACAGCGCACTGTCAGCACGGCAGATGCTTCAAGGATTTAGTCTCTTGTTGCTTTTTGTCAGGAAGATAAAATATTCACTGCCACTACTCCGGGCATTGTGCTTTTGTTTTCATGCCTCGCTTGCTACACAAGTCACCATATGAGAAGTAATTCACATCACTTTGACGTCGAGGTCAGCATTTGCTTTTCTCCTTTCACCCGAGCATCAGGTTGCTGCATAAATGCAGATTTCACAAAATTATTTTGAATTTTATGTTCTATGTGCTTCTTCCAGCACAAAGAGCAGCAAGCAGCCAACACACTGAGGAAACCTGGCCACACACGTGTATCACACCATCCCATTTCCAATTCTTGGAATTACAAACGGCCAACTATTTTTATTTGGCGGATACAAAAATGATGTTGATTAAATGTAAAACTTAAGGAAGCAGCTATTCAAACTTTGTTGTACCATCACTGGATTAATAGAAATTGAAAATAGAAGAAGGTGAGGCCTGTGTGGCTTCTAGTTTAACGGGCTGATTCTGGACAGTCCCGGACACTTCTGGACAGTCTCTGGAATGGGAGTTTAGAGGCTTGAGAGAACTTGCTCATCTTGGTCTTGTTTGTAGTCAAACACCCTGAAATGGCAGCATCCATAGCAGCATTTATTACTCATCAGCTTTGTTTTGGTAGCTCCAGCTAAAAAGTAAGCTTTTGAATCCAAATGTATTACTCTCCTTGGCACCTCTGTGAGGTGATCCCTTTACACTCCTGAGATGTCAGCATGGAAAAGCTCGTCCTGCCACTTTAACTGTCCTGTAGAAAAACAAAAGACGTCACGGTGGGCTCCCAATCTGGCATCTATCCTGAGAAGTAAAATAACCCTGGAAGATTTGCTTCTGATCTTATGTAAATGGAATGTATCCTGACCTTCACTGAATATTAAAGAGGGTTTCAAAATTATATGGGTCTTAAAATACTTTCTGCATACCGGGGTTATCTAATACATTCACATGCCTACAGTGAAGCATCCCACTGAGGATTAGCTTTAAAAGCCAATACTTCCAGAAACGATACCACATTATCATCCAGTTGGCATTTCCACCATTTAATCAGGCACATGGCTGTGAGAAAGACTGTGCAGAGAAACAGTCTGCAATCAGCTGCCCCTCGCAGAGTCACGGGACAGAATGTGACTCTACCTTTGCTGTTCATCATTTAAAAGTGCTGCATGAGAAAACAGAATCAAAAGGTAATTGTTATTCATTAAACACTTTCTTGCTGTCCAAATGTATGCATATCTGAACGTCTACACACACACAGGCCTAGTCACATTCTGTTACAGCATAGTTGAGATCTTTAATATACAGATATTTCTAATCAAAGGATTTAAATTGATGTCAGAGGTACAAACTGCTTCATATTCTTTTTATTATTATTGAATTACTTTAATTAACTAAGATGCAGCTACTTCCCTACTTATTGCCTTTTATCTCTCACTATCTTTCTTCTCCAAACCAGTCTGCCTTATCCTCTGCTCCTTGGGCTCGCAGAGGCGCAGCGGAATAGCTTACCTGCCTGGGACACCCGCTGGATGTCACCTTCCTTTAGGAAGGACAGGCTGGGACAGCAAGAAGGGGGTTGCCCTGTATGTGAGAGCTGCAGGAACATGTGGGGCTCTGCCAAGGGATAGGTGATGAGCCAGTTCAGAGCTTATGGGTCAGGACTGGTGGTGGACAGAACATGGGCAGCATTGTGGCAGTGCATGCTACAGAACACCCACACAGGAAGGAATGTGATGGAGGAGCTCGTCCTGGACACCACCTCCAAGCATAAGAAGGACAAGAGGGTGATGAGTAGTCAAGCATGGATTCCAAGGAGGAATTGACCCATAACAACCTCAGAAGTAAGTTCGGGAGGTGCAGGCTAGATGGACAGTAAAGCAGATTGAGAAGAGGCTAAAAGGCAGAGCCAGGAGCAGGGTTGGATTAGTTGATGTCCAGAAGTTCCCTTCCAGCCTCAACTGGCCTGCAGCTCTGTGAAACAGATGAAGCCTTCTTCAGACAACCACAATAAGCGTCACTTTTGCAAGTCCTGGTGCTCATTGGAGACCTGAGCCACCACAGTATCTGCTGGACTGACAATAGAGCAATCAGGTTTCTGGAGTGTATGGATGATACAATGACATAGGTGACTAAGGAGTGGGCAAGGAGAGGAGCTCTGCAGGGCCACATAAATGGGGAAAAATTGGTTGGGGATGTGAAGGTAAGGGGCAACCTTGGGTGCTGTGGCCATGAGGTAGTGGAATTCAGCATCCTGAGGGGAAGGAACAAAGGAACTAGCAGGGTCATAACTCTGGACTTCAGGAGAGCAAACTTTGTCCTCCTAAGGGGTCTCTTTGGAGGAAAATCATGGGTAGCAGCCTTGGAAAGAAGAGGGGTCCAGGAGAGCTGGTTCATTTTCAAGAATCATCTTCTTCAAGCTCAAGAATGATCCATCCTTACATGAAGGAAATTGAGCAAAGATGGCAAGGGGCTTGCATGGATGAACAAGCTCCTGACTAAACTCAGACATAAAAAGCTGTGCACAAGAGGTAGAGGCTGGGACATGTGACCCGAGAGGGCTACAGAGACACTGAGGACGCAGGGTTGGGGTTAGGAAAGCAAAGCTCAGCTGGAGTTGAATCTGACAAGGGATGAGAAGGGCAACAAGAACTTCTACACCTACAGCAGTTGCAAGGGAAGGCAAGGGAAAACTTGGGACCACTGCTGAATGGTGTGGTGGACCTGGTGGCAAAGGACCTGGAAAAGACATTTACTACCTTCTTCACTTTTTTTTTTTTTTTTTTTTTAAACTGGGAATCCCAGGCCCCTAAGACCAGAGGAAAAGTCCAGAGGAAGGAAGACTCACTCTAGATGGAGGACGATCAGGTTAGGGAGCATTTGGAAACACTTAGGGGACAGTTGGAAATACACAAGTCTGTGGGCCCT